AATTCGAGGTGGTTGGCTTGTGAGGTTAGTTCGGCGGTTGAGAGTTTCTGGTTCAGAGTATGGGCTATTATATGCAGTATGGGAAGGAAAGAAGTTGATTGAGCAATCAACTTCAGGGTTGTTATGAGTATTCTTGCATGAGTTTTGAGCAATAGAGGAGGAAGTCTCGGATTGTCATCTTCGTGTTCTGAGTCGTCGGCAATTTCTCCGTGTTTTAATTTGGGAGATGGAATATTCTGGGGTATCCGAGTTTCATGTCCTAAATCTCGGATTATTTTGAGTTTGAGTTTGAGATGACAAGTGGTGCATCGGGTGTCTATGGTTTCGGTGGGGGCCCTTCAGCTAATTGACATCAAATGGATTTATTTGAGAGTGTGAATTGCAGCGAGAAAAAGAGGTTTTTGTCACGACGGTGGTCGTCCGAAGTAGTGATTCTTAGCCTGGATGGGTGTGTGTGTACCTATCTATGTTGGGCCGCAAAGCATGAGTTAATGATCGCAGTGTGATGTCAACCTGAGGATGAGATTATGAAGTGGTAAGAGTTAGTGGGGTGGGACTGCGAAGAGTTGCAGTTCAATGAGTTAGTGCAAAAGGGTGTTGTGATGCTACGGGGAGCCGTAGTACTCACTAGTCAGAAGAGGGTGTTGTGATGCTACGGGGAGCCGTAGTACTCACTAGTCAGAGAGAGGGTGTTGTGATGCTACGGGGAGCCGTAGTACTCACTAGTCAGAAGAGGGTGTTGTGATGCTACGGGGAGCCGTAGTACTCACTAGTCAGAAGAGGGTGTTGTGATGCTATGGGGAGCCATAGTACTAACTAGTCAAAGAGAGGGTGCTGTGATGCTACGGGGAGCCGTAGTACTCACTAGTCAGAGGAGGGTGTTGTGATGCTACGGGGAGCCATAGTACTCACTAGTCAGAGAGAGGGTGTTGTGATGCTATGGGGAGCCGTAGTACTCACTAGTCAGAAGAGGGTGTTGTGATGCTACGGGGAGCCGTAGTACTCACTAGTCAGAGAGGGGGTGTTGTGATGCTACGGGGAGCCGTAGTACTCACTAGTGAGTAGGAGGTTGTTGTGATGCTATGGGGAACCGTAGTACGCACTAGTTAGCGAGAGGTTGTTATGATGAAGCATTCTTGATCAGGGCATGACACAGAAGAGTTTTAGGCATGAGTAGCCCTAATCTATGAGTTTTTGGGAGCCTGGTGGTCGGACCAGGGGCGAGACCGGGGTCTCCTCAATGATCGGGAATCATTATATTCTGAGTAAGGTGTGGACATCGCAATTCGAAGGGATTGGATAAGTGAAGTACGCATGGGTTACGGGTCACGAGTCATGAGTTGAGTGGGTCTTGGGGACGAGTGGTTACAACTACGGGTCGGACCAAACTCTCGAGTTGAGTTGAGTCCTGGTGGTGTGTTGGATAGGTGAGATGAGATTCTGGAATCGGAGGTGGGATTCCATATGAGGGGTATTGTTCGTCATCTGATGTCTTAGACCTGAGTAGGTCGGGGCCTTGGTTCGGGAGGTGCAGCGGGATGCACGAAACTATTGATCAGTAATCGACAGAGTTCAGGGGTGATCCGATCTTCAATAGAGTGTAGTGTTCGCTTGAGGGAAGCGAACTGCGTGACTTGTGCGTCACTAAGAGTCGAGACAGTTATTATAAGATGGGAATCGGTGAAACCTTTTTGGTTATGGGATGGGTGAGCATGTGGTTCATCTATTGGGTTGTTAAAGTAAGAGAATATTCCCAGGCGAGCATGATCAATTTCTGGTGTCCAAGATTAGAGTTTTGGGTTCATCCCCTCTGATGAATCCTGATGTTGGTGCTTGCAGTAGGTCCTGGAGAAAGGGGGAGATTATGATATTTCTGTCCTTTTGAGTTGAGATCGGGTTTGATCAGGGAATCAGGGATGGTAGAGTGTTCTTAGAGTCTTCTAGTCGGCGGGCGGTTAACAGGATGATGATTCGAGTGTGATCTGGCCAGGAGATAGACCGCAAGAGTTTTCAAGCTCTGAAGATTCAGATTGAGTACCGCAGCGACAGTTGGGTATGCCCTTTTGGGTCAGGAGACCCTGGTGGGATCGAGTATCTGTGGAAGTGATTATTGTATGGTTTAAGGACCTTCGCTAGTGCATCTCGGGTAGTTGGGTTCGATCTATGTATGGTAAGGAGCGATTTCGAGGGCGAAATCTAATTCAAGTGGGGGAGATTTGTAACATCCGAGAATTTGGGTATATCTGTTTAACCCTTCCTCTTCTCCAAATTGTCAAGAGAAGCCCCTTTATGGAAATGTTGCAAAGGAGTATGCTGGGCGTACTGAAGAGTACACTGCGCGTACTCATTCGCTTTTAATAAACGCGGACTCCATGAAGTACGTTGGGCGTACTAAAGTTACGCTGGGCGTAACCAGCCCAGATGCAAAACCCTAATTTAGACTTGAGCCCTATATAAAGAAGGTTATGGCCTTATCCTCATCCACCATTTGAGTGAGTGAAACCCTAAAAGAGAGTCAACCTTCGTTCTAAGCTTGTGTGAGTGTTTTTGGAGCTAAAGTGCCTTTGTGTGTTAGTAAAGAAGAAGAGGAGATTATTGTGAAGGCTAGAAGTTGGAGTGCAAGCTTGTATCTGAGTTCTATAGAGGGAGAAGCTTCACTTGGAGGTAAAAAGCTCAGAACTTTCCTTGTTGTTATGGTTGTGTGCTTCTTGGACCAATTTTAGGGTTTTTGGTCCCAAGCTTGAGGCTTTATGAGTTGATGCACTCCAGAGCTTAATAACCTATCCTTTTAAGTGTTTCTTGTGGTGGAGAACCATAAAAATAAGGCCTTGATCGTGTGAATCTACCCACGCATGAGTTATGAGCACTTTGGGTTAAGAAAGCAAGAGTTTTCATGTGTTATGGCCTTATCAGCCATGCAAAGGCTTAAAGTTGTTAACTTTATGGAGTAAGAGATGTTAGGAAGTCCAGATCCAAGAGTTGAGCTAAGGTCTTAACGGGTTAAGACCCAGAAAATGGATTAAGCAAGCCTGGTGGTACGCGCCGCGTAATTCCAGTACGCCCCGCGTACTAGGTTGAGGTCCCCGATCAGTTCCTTGAGTGTTTGGGTACGCTGAGCGTACCAGGGGGTACGCCCCGCGTAACTCCTTCTGGGGGTTTTTGGGCTAAGCATTTTGTTGGGCCGGGAGTTTGGACCTCATGTAATAGAGTCTTGGACTAGAGAAGTGTATGTATGTGCTTTGGGCCTTTGGTTTGGACTTGCCTTTTTGGTTGGGATTTGGGCCGTGTGAGGGCCCATTTATTATTGGGCCTTGGTGGGCCCAATGGACTTAGGGCATTAATGGGCGGATAGGTGGTCTATCTTTAGACCCAATAAGTGAGAGGTTGGACTTAGCTCCTAATTGAGATTATTGTGGGTTTGGCACAGAGTTAGAGTCTGGTGCGTAGCAGCAGTGATTATAGGAGCTGTTCTTCATCCGAGGTGAGTCTTCTCACTATACATTACCTAGAGTGGTATCTATGTGTAGACCGGAGGGTCTTGTGTGCTATGTGTATGTATGAGATTATGTGCATTGTGATATATGTATGCTATGTGTTGTATAGACCGGACCGGAGGGTCCAACGATATAGACCGGACCGAAGGGTCCAACGATACAGATCGGACCGAAGGGTCCAACGAGCTACGGGACTGGAGGGTTCCGCTGAGACACATCGACCGGGGGTCGTACTGTAGCCTCGAGTGGCGTATGTGTTGTATGCGGTATTTTGGGGAACTCACTAAGCTTTGTGCTTACCGTGTTATGTATTTTGTGTTTCAGGTTTTCTCGAGATCGCGGGACGGCACCGGCTTGATTGTACACACCAGAGAAAGAGTTATATTTTGAGGATCCTGGATTATTAATGGAGTTGTGCTCTGTAATTTGAATAAACGAGATTTTATACAATTTGTTATGAAAAGTATGCGGTTTTAAAATGAAAAATATGTTTGAAAATTTACTACGTTACATTTTTCTTCTTCTCTTTCTTCGTTTTTCTTTTTATTTAAGGGTTCTCTATCTTTAAAAATGGTTATACACTTCCTCTTTCCATAATTCGCCATCTCATCCTCTATTATCATTTCTTCTTTCTCCCATATTTTTTCTCTCCGATTCTTAATGGCCTCTGTTAGATCTGGAGTCGCTCCTACACCCGAGGAGTTCGAGTACCTTCAATTCTGATTTGGGTTCATTCCTGAGCATGGATTTCAATTACCATCGGAAGGGTGTATAATTTATCAACCACCAGCGGGGAAAGTGGGTATTCTGGTAGCGATCTTCGAGGCCGGGTTTCGACTTCCCGTTTCTGATTTCTTTGACGAGGTTATGCGAGAATATGGTTTCTCTGTTCACGACTTGAACCCAAACGATGTGAACAAGATAGTTGGGTTTGAGTTAGGGTTTTGAGTGTTGGGGGTGCTTCCCCATCTTCATGCATTCCAATTTTTCTTCAATTTGTTACCTATTCGGGCGTTCACACTTTCTCTCAACGTTGGAATACGCATTCCTTTATAGTTAACCAGAAAGCGCTTTGGAAGAACTGGCAGGATCAGTGGCTGTGGGTTAACAGTGATTTAGTTGGGGTCGGCTATCCTCGTGTGCCCATGGCTTCGGATCGGGTACCCCAATTGTCGGGGGTCGGTTTGTCGGTGGCTCATACGTTAAGAGGAATTTGTTTTAACGGCAAAGACTGGCCAGACTGTGTATTGGCAGCAGCCGGAATGACTGCTGCTTGGAGGTCACGTGAAAAGATGCCTTAGTTTTTTTGGACAATGATGGTAAGTGCTACCTTCTTCCCCCCCCCCCCTTTTCCTTTCTTTATTTGATATCGAGTTTCTTTTGCTGAAAAGGAGGGGGTTTTGCGTTGTTGTCGTTGCAGGTAGTGAAAGGTTTTTGTCTCTTGAGCGAGTGCTACAAGGGGATTTTGAAGGGGATCTTCAGTATCACGAAGTCCCTCAAGTGGAGATGCTACCGACTCCAGCTAGAGTTGGCCCTATTTTTGTGGGCGATATCCCTCCTGTCGAGGTGGGGGTCAGAGGATCATGTGTGGCTAGTGGTAAAGTCGTCTCCCGACGTCGGTCTTCTGCTGTCGATTCCGCCCTTGAGGAGGATGTTAGTGGCAGTTCTATTGGCCAGCGTTTGCGTCGGAAACGCAACATTGATCCTCTATTTGCCAAGTCGTCTGTTGTTATTGAAATTATTGATAATGATGACCCGCAAGCGATGGAGACGGCAGGTTTGCATTGGACGGGGAACCAGACGTTGTGGGCACTTACTCTGTCCCGCCCTCTGTTCCCGGCGATGCCCTGTCGATGGCGAGTCCTTCGTCTTTGCGTGCTACTGGTGTGTATCTCCCTGGGTGGGATCTCACATCCGATTCCCTTTTATCGGAACAAGGGCTCGCCCCGTGAGTGGTGCCGACATGTGTTTCCTCCGGCTACCCTGGAGGCTCTCAATGCTCTTTCTTATTCTTACATGGCGAACGATATTTAGTATGCCGCTGCTCAGGTTGCTCCCTACTTGGTAGCGGCTGCTGGTCGTCTTCGTTACATAGGGGCTGATTTACCGGAGTTGGCTGCTGTTAAATCTGAGTGTGACGAGCTCACGGTGAAGGTTTGGCTTCTCGAAGAGGAGCGACGCAAGTTTGATGAGCGCTACCTCGTGTTTTCTAGGGAGAAGACTGTTGTGAAAGCTCAGGTGGGGACTCTGGATGGGGAGGTTAATCTCTTATCTCAGCAGGTCCAAAATTTGATATCGGAGAAAGAAGCATTGACAGAGCGTTTGACACTGCGAGACGATCAGTTCACCGCTGAGGTCTTAAAGAGGAAAATCTTGGAGGCTGATTTAGCATGGGTTCTCCAGAAGGGAGTGGTTCGTGTGGTGGATCGTATTTTCGAGAGTAGCGAGTTCGCGCTTGGGATTCATCGCGTGAAGGCTGCGTGTGTGGCTGCTGGTATAGAGAAGGGAAAGAAGATGGCACAAGCATGGCCGGCTGGCAATATCCCTGGCTCGTCTGATCCGGACGCTGTGGTACAATCTGTTAATGCAATGCCTGTTGTCATCAGGGCTTTTTTCAAGACAGACTTTGCATCCTATTTCCGTTTGGGCGAGCTCCGCCTTGCTAATCTTCGCCAACTATGTTCTAAAAAGGAAGAACACACGCCAGACGATGGCGCTGCCTCGGCTCAACCTCGCCAAGTTTAATTTTTGTTGTGCTTTATTGTATGTTTGTTGTTTATTTCTCATTTTTTGTATGTACTTTGTGTAATGTTGTTGAATTCGACCTTGCGGGGTCTTCAGCATTAATGTTTGCCCATTCTTGCGAGCTTCTCTTATATATATATATATATATATATATATATATATATATATATATATATATATATCTATATATATATATATATATATATATATATATATATATATATATATATATGTGTGTGTGTGTGTGTGTGTGTGTATGTGTGTGTGTGTGTGTGTTTGGGGAGGGGTCTCCCCGAAGAGTGTTTTGTAGGCCTTGCCTTTGGTCCTTAACTGAGTGACCAATTACCTCTCTTTTGTGGTCGCTTAAGTGATGGGTTATGAGCATTACAACATTCCTATGGTGTACAGGCAACCCTAATGCTTTGGATCTAGGTTTTTCTCTATTGAACATGCAAATTGAATACCAAAGCATAGAACCCTAAGACTAGCATAAAATAATCAAAAAATCATATGAAATTAGGGTTAGAACATTACCTCTCTTGTTATGTAGCAATAACAAGTATAATCCTTCTTGATCTTGACTTCTGAAAGCCTAGTGCCCCAAGTGTTGCACCTCTAATGGAGTCACAAACACCCAATGCAACAAGATGACTTGGAGAGGGAAGGAAAATCGGCTAGGATTCTCTAAAATTCATAGGGGGCCGGAAATCCTTATGTTAGGAGGGTTTATATAGTTGAGGCTATTAGGGTTTTCAGGTGGAAACCCTAATTCACTTGCCTAGGCCTTAAGCAATTCATGAACCCCCATATGAAAGGCCCTTGGACGAAAACTCTATGGGCTTCCCATAGATTTTCGTCCATCCCTTAACAATAGGATCCATTAGCCCAAAGTACAACTATTACTGATTTACATAATCAGTGCCTCCATTATCAATCAGTTCCTTTAATCCCAAAATTAATACCAGATTAATTTCTGATCAATTACTAATTAATAATATGATTTCCAAATAATATATTAATCTTGTAATATATTAATAAAACATTTTGTGTACCAATTTATTATTCATATAATAAATCATACTCTCTCTCCACTTGTCATCCTATCAAGTTGCATGAGTGAAGGCAACCCAAAAGGACAACGCTTATAATCAAATCAAGTACATACCGAAAATAGTTATGGGCTTAGACACCTAATCCAACATTAATGTGAGTCGAAATCTTCACCTCGAGACTCCTTGGACTCGTGTGTGTTAAATTTTCAGGGAAAGGTTATGATCCGTTGAACCCTTTGGGTACGTTTGGTTTGAAAGCCTGGAGGCTTTATTGCTTGTTTAAACCGAAATGTACGTAGGGGGATCATCTCTGACTGAGATTTGTGGTTGCATGTTGGCGGTTTATTTTGCCCAAACAATGTGGATGATCAGCCTGTGTTGTCGTTTTGCAAATTTGTGCACCCCCTTTTTGTTCCTTGCGTTTGCATTTATGTTTTATATACGTGTGTTCATATGTTGACTAGCAAGGTTAGTCTACTACTTTACGAAACTCTATTAATCAGAAAGTTTTGAAGACAACTTAAGCATCTTCATGTCAACATTTGACCAAGGTGTATCTTCTAGGCTGGAGGTCCGAGCGTCACTACCCCCCTCATTTGGTTATGCCATTCACCAGTTGTTTTTACAAATAAAAGTGGCGCGGGTTGCGTGCATTCCATGTTCGGGATACCGGTTTCCCATCTTGTGCTTCCAGTGTGTACGCTCCGTCCCGGTGCGCCCTCATTATTCAGTAGGGTCCTTCCCAGGTTACACTTAGCTTCCCCAATTGCTCCGAGTGGCTAGCTTCGTTCTTCCTCTGCATCCATTATCCTTCCTTGAATTTCTTTACCCACACCCGTTTGGTGTAAAAGTTTTCTGTACGGGCTTTGTAGGCTACTTTTTGCAGTCGAGCAGCTTGGCATTTTTCGTATAACATGCCCAGGTCTTGTCGTCGCTTTACCTCGTTCGAGCCTTCATCGAAACTGGTTACCCGCAATGATTCACTCAGAATCTCGAGTGGGAGCATCGCTTTCGTGCCATATGTCAGGCTGAAGGGCGTCTCTCACGTCCATGACCCTGCGGTAGTGCGATATGACCACAATATTGTTGGCAGTTCTTCCGTCCAGGCCCCCTTTGCTTTCACCAGGCGTTTCTTAAGCACGTTCACGATGGTCCTGTTTCACACTTCGATCTAGACGTTTTCCTGGGATTGTGCGACCGAGGTAAAGCGACGATGGATCCGATTTACCTCGCACCATTATTTGAAGGGGATTCCCTCAAACTGGGTGCCTTTGTTGCTTATTAGGACATTGGGGTTGCCGAACCGAGTTAGGATGTTTTTCCACATGAATCTGATCATCTGCCTGCTCGTGACCATGGCTAGGGGTTCTGCTTCGATCCAATTTGTGAAGTGGTCAACTGCAACCAGTAGGAACTTCAGTCCCCCTGGGCCGTCGGGAACGGTCTGACGATGTCAATGTCTAATTGGTGGAAGGGCCATGGGCTGCTGATGCTGGTCATGGTTGTTGCTGGCTGATTTTGGAACGGGGCGAATGCCTAGCATTTCGAACATTTCATTGTGACCCTCACCGCTTCTTTGTACATGTTGGGCCAATATACCCCTAAACGTAGTATCTTTCTTGTGAGTGCCCGTGCCCCCTCATGTGCTCCAACTTCGCCCGAATGGCTTTCCTCTAGGAGGACTTGGCCTTCCTCGTGCAAGACGTATCTGAGCCATGGCGCTAGGTAGCCTATCTTGTACAGTTGCATGCCTTTTACGACGAATTGGGAATTTTGATTTTTATCTGTTTGGTCTCTTCTGGGTCATCTGGGAGGATCCCGTGATGCAGATAGTCTAGGAATGGCTTGTTCCAATCCAATGATTCTGCGATGGCATCGACTTGCTTGTTGTTGATGCTCCTTTTCTCCAAGGACCTCTACCAGTACCTTCTTAGTTAGGTGGTCAAAGGATGTCGAGGCCAACTTGCTAAGAGCGTCGGCTCTTGTATTTTCCCCCTGGGTATTTGTGTGATTTCGAAGCTTTTGAATGAATGCGCCAACTGCCGTGTCTTTTCCAGGTATTTTTACATCCTTCGATCGTTGGCTTCGTAGGTGCCATTGAACTGGTTGGTTATACGTAGCGAATCACTGAAAAACCGAAGATGTTTTGCGCCGACTTCACGTGCCAGTTGGAGGCCCGCGAGAAGTGCTTTGTACTCAGCCTCATTGTTTGAAACTTGAAAGTCGAATCTCAAGGCTTATGTTATTTCATCTCCCTTGGGGGTTTTTGAGGATTAGGCCTGCGCCAGAACCCTCCTTACTTGCTGCGCCGTCAGTGAGTAGTTCCCATATTTCTTTGCTTGCCTCGGGCTCTAGCGGGTCTGTTGGAAAGACCTTTGGTATTCCTCTAAGTGCGTCTGGTATTTCTACTAAGAAGTCTGCTAGTGCCTGCACCTTGATACTGGTCCGCGGGTGGTAATCTATGTCATGCTCTCCTAGTTCTATTGCCCATTTCGCTAATCGTCCTGACTTTTCGGGTCTCAGCAGCGCCTGTTTTATTGGGAATCTGGTCAGCACTTCGATTTTATGTGCTTGAAAATAGCGTTGTAGGCGTTTGGCTGTGTAAATTAGGGCTAGCACCAGTTTTTCCAAGACTGGGTAATTGATTTCGGGGCCTTGAAATGCTCTACTTACGAAATGTATTGGTAACTGCTTTTTTTTTCTTTCTACCATTAGTACCGATGAAATGGCTTCATCGGCTGTTGCGAGGTATATCTGTAAGGTTTCTCCCGGGAGGGGGATCGCCATTGTTTTTAGTTGACGAAGAGCCTCCATTAGGCATTGGAGGGATGCATCTGCCTCTTTTGTCTATTTAAAGTGACTCTTATCGACACACCCTTTCACCTTGTGGAAGATTGGTAGAGCTTTTTTTTCCGATTTGGCGATGAACCTACCTAGTGCGGTTAGCCTACCGTTGATTTCCCTTCTTTAGTTATTCGATATCCCATGAACTAGCCCTCTTCTACCCCGAAAGTGCATTTTCCCGTGTTGAGTTTCATCTATGCTCGCGTCAGGGTCTGGAGCGTCTCCTCGACGTCTTGGAACAAAGTTGTTTCGTTGTGACTTTTAATGACCATGTCTTCGACATATACTTCCACATTCTTTTCAATCTGTTCTGCAAAGACTTTATCTATTAGGCGCTGGTATGTCGCACCGGTGTTTTTAAGGCTGGATGGCATTTTTTGGTAGCAGAAAGTGCCTCGATCGGTGTTGAAGGCCATCTTTTCCTCGTCTTCCTGGCGCATCTAGATTTGGTGATAGCCTTTGTAGGCATCAAGAAAACATTTGAGTTGGAAGCTGTGACAACCTGAAATTTCCAAGCTTGTTTAATCAATTAAACCTATCAATGTTAGACTCGTTTTGCTTCCAGTTATACTGTTTGGAACCTGTTTCGAGTGTTCTAACCCTAGTACATCAAAGGAATAAGAGATTGGAAATAGCAGCTTAAGTTCTTAACTGCATGCAACCGTAAACCTCCTCAAAAAGGGAGTTTACGGTCAAGACCAATGAGTTTACGGTCATGGTGACCGTAAACCCATCCCTATATAGATGGAGGGTGATCACTTCAACCATTCTTTTCCCTCTTTCAAGCCTTAGAACCGATTCTCTCTCAAAAAGCATAAACTTTTGCTTCCAAATCTTCAAGAACAAATCATCAAAGTTTCTCAAGAACACGGTTATGTTTTGTACCGAAAACACCTTCCTTGCCTTCAAACCCGTAAGTACCATCATCAAATGAAGTGGTTTTTAACTGATTGTTTCAAAAAGACGTCAAGTCACCAAAATGGATTTCAAAATATGAAACTTCTTTTAAATATTTTATAAACTTATATTTTTCCCCAAAAATCATACTAGTATACATATATTTATATAAATAAGATTTAAAAGATTTAGGACTGATAACCCACT